AGCAAAGGGTCTGAATATTTAGGACCATGTGATATTTCAGTTTTTCTTTTTTAATAAATCTGCAAAAATGTCAACAATTCTGTGTTTTTCTGTCAATATGGGGTGCTGTGTGTACATTAATGAGGAAAAAAAATGAACTTAAATGATTTTAGCAAATGGCTGCAATATAACAAAGAGTGAAAAATTTAAGGGGGTCTGAATACTTTCCGTACCCACTGTATACATCATTCCATTCTGTTATTTTAAAACATTCTGGATAAAACATTTTCAAGGAGACTTTTAGGAGGTATTTAGGTTTCAAGGAGTCCTTTAGTTTAATTTATAAATGTGAATTGATGTTTCCTTTATAGTAACTTAATTTGTGTAAAAATTACTGTATTCAGTTATTGTTGATTTGAACTGTAAAACCAAAACTAAATCATATGGGTTGTCCTTCAAAAACCTTATAAATGTTTTTACCATTTTAGCTGCATTTTGTTTTTTGGTGCTAATAAATAGCAAGTTACTACAATTTTAATGTAGTAACAATATACCTGCAGTAAGTATTCTGGTGGTAAATAAGTTTTTTTTTGTAATGGTTATTTATAAGTCATCACGTTTCATTACGTCTCAGGTAAAGCAACAACTTTGACATTTTGTGCCCGGATTTCCCTTCAATTTGAAACTCCCACATATTGAGACACCCTCAACAAGCTAAAACCCAGTGAAATGAAGGGCTGCATCAGAGTGGAGAGTTTCGGTTTGTGTGTGGAGTTGTGCTCAGAGTGTCAGAACTGCACAGTCTGTCACTCTGCACCTGTGACAGATTCCCTCTGTCTGAGGTTTCCCGTCTCACCTGGTATCTGTCAGAATGGTGAGCTTCATCAGAGGAGAGCGGGGACACAACTGGAGACTCGCCCTCACGTTTGATGTGCACTGACAACAGGAGAGACTAGCGAGAGAGAGAGAAACAAAAAAAATGAGAGAAAAAGGTGAGCAGCCATTCGCTAGACAAATGTGTCATCCACAGAACTGATGGTGTAGCACAAGAACTCCAAACCCGGTGTGTTGAAACAATATGACTGATGTGAACAATTGTTGACAGATAACCATTAACTGCCATTTCAGCTTCAAACTATGTGTGTTGACAGGACATCAGTGTTTAGAGTAATGGAGGTTTCGACAGAGAGAAAGCAGGACACCAGACGGCATGACAGGACACTTTGATCTCCTATAAACGTATCGCCGTGCTCTGGAAAATGTAACAGGCCTGTCCTTCTGAAAACCTAATTGACTTAATTTCTCAAATGACTGAGGAACGGGGGTAGGGGAAATACTGCTTACTTTCCCGAGAGTCTTGATCTCCGTCCTGCTTTTATGAGGCGGCTATAAAATATTTGTATTTACAATCTGCTCTGATTAATCAGAGTGAGAGGAGGGGTTGCTGCTTTAGCGGCTGACAACTATAATCTAATATTAATATGTGAAAAATGGATGAAAGTCTCTCTCTATGGGGACAGTAAATTAGACATTATGCATGGCTCCTTATGCTTTTGAATCGCAAGGTCAGGAAACAATTTATTTGTGATCTCAAAACCTTTGGAGCTCAGGGAATACGCTGTGTGCCAGAGAGCGAGTATGAGCGCTAAGTGTTTACACAGGTCTACTGTATCTAGTGAGTGGAATGTTTAACGGTTTCATTGTCCAATGAGAAATGATAACAGTCCCAAAATAACACATGAACAGCAAGTTTAGCACCAGGTAATCTGACTTGAAGAATATGTTATAATGAAATTTTTTTTTAAATAATGTAATATAATGGCACATGTTATACATACTGTTCACAAGTCTGGGATAAGTAAGATTTTTTAAATGTTTTTAAAAGACTCTCTTACACTCAACAAGTTTGCATTTAATTGATCAAAAATACAGCAAAAACAGTAAAGTTGTGTACACTTAAATAAAATGTTAAATAACCGTTTTCCGTTTAATAATTAATTCTGTTGTATTCCTCTGATGGCAAAACTGAATTTTCAGCACTCATTACTCCAGTCTTCAGTGCCACATGAATCTTATAAATCATCCTAATATTTTCCTAATAATCCATTTAAAACAGTTGTACTGCTTAATATTTTTATGGAAACCATAATGCATTTTTTCAGGATTATTTGATGGATAGAGAGTTCAAAAGTGTCACTTTTGATCAATTTAATGCATCCTTGCTGAATAAAAATAATAGTTTATTTTTTTTTTATCTTACTGACCCCTAATTTATTGTACAATCTTTGATAAAAGATTTATGTTTAATAAATATCACATAATACTTTTATATTATAATGATTACAATTTCCTTTACGCAGCATGCCTTGAAAATCACCTTTACATTTGATCATTTGGCAGATGTTTAAATTCCTTTTAAAAAGCCCAAATTCCTTTGAAATACCTGAAATTGTATTCCTGTCTTTGTATAAGTTGCATACTGACGTGTAGCTCAAGCAGTAGCAGTGCTGCAGATGTTAGCATGGTAACTGTGCCGCCTACCACTGTTGGCCTTCGCCCTGTTGGATTAAGAGCCGCAAAGACTGGCATGGAGTCGCTATGGCAATGGCGGCTTGAGAGAGGGGTGAAGACGGGCCAACTCGGCCCGAGGTTAATCCCCTTTAGAACTAGCGAGCTGGGACTGATCTGCTGCTCACCGCCTTTTAAAGGAGAATCATGGACCCCCACCACCGTCCCATCTAGCCTCTTCATTTTCCACACACTCCTACGGAATACTAAGTGTGAGCTATAGAATGCTCAGTCACGCCTCACACGGCCTGTTCTCTAACCCGCTCCTGTGTCTTCTGGCTCTCATGCTCTTTCCATACTTTCAGTTTCTCTCCAACTGCAGGTCAGAGCCAAAGGGTTTGCCCTCTGGATGAGGGATCATCATATGAGGGTGGTTTATTATTATCACCATTCTTGTTCATTTCTTCACAAAGAAATATGCATTTTTCTGAGATAAAGTACAAATATACATTTCAGGCAGACTGTAGAATGTCTTCAGTGAATGTGAGGTGGGTATTTCTGGCATTTGCAAAGGTTCATGGCATCATAAAATCCATAAACTGAAAGATAAATGCTTGATGTGTTGCAATACTTTCCACTGACAATGTCACATCAGCCTGTAATTCGTTCTTCCTTCAAAATCATGGCTTGAAGGCAGAAGTTCATCCAAAAATTACAATTCTGTCATCATTTACTCACCCTCACCTGTATAACTTTCTTTATTTTATGGATATTTTAAAGAATGTTTCAACTGTTTTTGTCCATTCGATGAAATTTTCAAAATATTCAAAATAAGGGTGAGGAAATTATGACGGAATTATCATTTTGGCTCAACTATCCCTTTAACATCCATGCTTGGAATGTAATACAAATGTTTATAGCACATCAAAACTCTCTAGTGAATCTTATGGTGACTGCACTACATAATTCAATTGATGTGGATGCGAATTTAATTGGGGAAATACACTTGGCTTCTTCCTCCTTTTAAGACAATGACACTGAAAAACATTGGTATCATTTTCCATGTCCAGGTCTTTTGAATGAGCAGTCAGGACACAGTGAAAGCTCTAAGTAAATTACTGCAGGAAATAAAGCCAGACGTTTTGTGACCACTCTCACAAAACGAGAGACTCTTTTTACATTTTTGTCAATGAAACAGAACTAATTGCCATTAATTGTGGCTGAGCCTATCAGTGAACATAATGATTTAAAATGGCTCCGTGGTGGTGGCCATCTTACCTTCGGTGTGCCTGGAGCTGCATTGATGTCCTTGTGTGATGGGTTCTTGCTGTAGGGAAAAACAGACACTGTGAGAGATGGTTATAACCAATAAATGTAATCAAGACTGAGGAAACCAAATTTAGGAATCTGCCATCAAAAAACCCACATATCGACCACTCTTTATTCGGCATCGAATATCGAGGTCGATATCTCGATGTCTAGTTGGTTATGAACTTGCATGTAATCAATGAGACTGGAACCAACTCAAAATGGCCATTCAAGAGGACAAGTTCACAGCTGACATGCGCTGATGTTAATTTCAATGGAATTTGATGTGCAAGAGCTACTTGTTGTCATGATGGCTGATCTATTTTGATCATGTGTCACAGCACTGACTATAAACCCATCACCTTTTGACTGAAAAGAAACTGCAATCTGTCATTTCGGAGAGATGCAACTTCTGTCCCCTAAGGAGCTGGACTACACGCGTCTCCTCCATCAACACTCACTTTAGCTCAGTCACATTGAGCACTCCCTTGTTGGCCTAACTTAGGACCTGAGCAGGCCTTCAAGAGGACAGCCAAGACAAAAGAGAACAAAGCCACACAAATCACACTTTTAATCATCTGGAGATGGAAAATGGGGAGGAAAAAATCGAAAGCAGTTTCAAACCCATCCTCTACGCCACTCAATCCAGGCAGCCCTGGGTCATGCTGTATTTGAAACAATTACTGTCCAAAAGTACGACTGCTAAGCAGATTTGGGTTATAATTTTTTTATTGAAGTAATCATTCTCATGGATGCTTCCATCCAGACCTGATCCCCCCCACCGCGACCCTCCCGCAGTTAGACTAAGGCAGAAGGAAATAAATGATTTTGCGGTTATTTGATTTGTCAGTGAAACGCCTTGGGCACTTAGGACTTTGAAATATGTTGAGGACAATGCACTGGCTTGTAAACATTGTATTAAAGAGGCGGAGAATGGCAGAGAGAGGAAAAAAAGGGTGGGGGCGACTCTTTCTTGAGTCTGGCGGGTGGGTTGTACATTGAATCTTTGCCTTGTGGACATTGTGGATTGAGGATGACTGATTGGAAGGCAGGAATTATTAAACGGGGCGGCTAAAGCATCCGCCGACAATAGGGAAAGACATATCAAATCAGATTCCTCTCTGAAACATTAATATCTTTCCTGCCATCTCTTTCTTTTTTTGTCTCTTGCTTTTTTCGCCGTCTGCCTGTTTCCTTGTCTGTCGCTCTAGCTGAATCTCTTGTTTAGAACCCCATAGATAGGTCACTGCTGGGTGTTTATGAAGCTGCGCGATGATGACCTGAGAAACAACGACAGGGGTAACGTTACCCTTGTCATGTTCATTTTAAATCATGCATTCACACCCAGAGAGATGGTTGAACTGAAACTGAATTAGCCTGTACCCTAATGTCGCACTTGTCACTGGACGAATGAAACAGAGCGAAGAGTGAAAGAGAACACGGATCATGTTTGTGTTCATTTAGCTCCTGCAGTGACTGATGAAGTTACAGTACAGTATGTGGACTGGCTAAAGAGGCTCAGATGTAATGAATGACAGGTGGAGGCGGGGTTTGGAGCATTGCCCCGCCCCTCCACTCAGGTAATAAGCCTCAAGCCCGCCTTTTCTGTAGTAGGTATGATTGATCTGACAGCAAGGGGAGGAAAGAAAGAGAAGGGGACAGAGAGAAAAGATGAGACAGAAGAGAAGAAAGAGACCACACAAATCAGGAACCAGGCCTTGAGAGGGGATAAATTGCCCCATCGGTGGCAGCGCGCTGTTTGCGAGATAATAAACGGACTCCTCGGCATCATAAATCCGCCCAACGTGGCACAGCGAATCTCTGTGACCTCACACATCTCCTCATGTCAAAAAAAAAACAACAACACTAAGATACACTTCATACCCCGAAGCATTCTAAATGCCCCCTCTGCACTCATTGGACATCCTAGTATCTCAAAATGCTCTTTTCCCAGTGGTGGGACAAGCAGGCAAGGTCAATGACAGAAAAACACTCTTTACTAGTATAGAAATGCCACACAGGAGCTGAACTATAGGACCTGAGGGACATTATGTAATACAGAGAACAAGTTAATTTAGGACTATAGTGCACAGACTATAATACATAAATCATGACCGCTTATTGCAGTGAAAATATTGGCATTTTAAACGGAAGCATGTAAGTGTTGTACTTGTTAAACTTTAGGCAAGATACTGTGTAATCAAATAAGGCAAAAACTCAGTGAGATTCGCTAATTTGAGATGTTACTCAAATTACAAGAGGGTTTAAAAATATATTGATGCCAAGGACCCAAAAAAATATAATGATCATTTTGAGGAAATTGTGTGAAAAGTGTGATATTAAAAATGAAATCACTGGCTGCACAAAAAAAAGGGAAACAAGGAAATATTAAAATATATATATTTAAAATATTATAATATTAATAATAAAATAATAATGTAAAATCATCAATAATAATTTAAAATAATTGTATAGTCATTTTCACAATAAATACAGGGTCAAAAAATGTTTAAACTTTCCTTACACTTTCCTCTCACATTTTCCAAAAAAAAAAACAGTGTGAACCTCCTGCTCTAATGTAACGGTAAATGAAAAAAACAGATAGATGAAAGGTAATTTTTGAGGGAAAAGGCAACAAGATGATGATATTGTATCGTGTCATGTCTGGTTGGGACACGGTATTAATATCTCCCTTATATATAATATATCATAGTGATAGATTCATACAACATGAACTCTAAACCTTCACCAGTCAAACTGTTTTCATCATTCTGAAATTCTCAGTTTAAAACGATTCACTACATGCGGCTGACTTCAAAATCCCACAAACTCCACACTCCGGACAAACCGAGCTTTCCCTTTCCCCTTTCGCAGCCAAATTCAGCTAGACTGAGAAGAGGGAGAGATAGCGAGCGTGAGGGAGCTGGTGAAAATTGAATAAATGCCAGTCGACAGTTGGGGGGTTGTAAGCTGGAGATAAAGATTGCTTTTCGTGTCGTTTGCCACCCGGATCTCCCTCGCTCCGCTGGAGGCAAATTGATTACGTGGAGAGGCTGGGAAAGGGTGGGGGAATATGTAGATTGCTGTGGCCCTCAGTGCAGGCAGACGGGTAAAGGGCATGATGGATTTCCATTTCCATACATGAAGAGTGGAGGACGAGTCAGGGGAGGGGGCATGCGATGCGGCCACAGGGGAGGGAGAGAGAGGGGAGTACGGCGGCGGGTTCCAATCTCACACACACTCACCCGCATCCACTCAGACATCTGCCTAATGCTACATCTTAAATAGCTTTCCCCATTTTACATGCACTCAAGTCTCATTTGGTGCAGAATGAAACGCTATCATTAAAGGGAGATTTACTACAAATTGCCACAAATTCGCCATGTCACTTCCAATGATCTGTGTGTGCTAGCGTGTGTTGAGCGGAGCCCCGCCTGGGAGGAAGTATACAGGGAAGGAAGACGGCAGCAGTTACCCAGAGTTCCACACTGAGCATCGATGAAGCAATACAGTGACTGCTGTGTACTTCAGGAATGCCTAAATCTAGTTCAGTATTGTGGATGCAAATGTTGATGTAGATTAACTAAAATGGAATCATTTTAATTGTACTGCAGATTAACAAGAAAGATATCAAGAACTTTTGAAATACTACTAAACCATGACTAACACCATGTTCGAACCAGATGATAAAGCGAGTGATAAAGTGTTTTTATTAATTGTTTTGATCACTTATTTTTATTTTATTTTCAAGCTGGGTAGCCCCACCCACAGTGTAATCTAATTGGTACAAAATGATGCTCAACATAGTTATCAATTAAAGGGATAGTTCACCCAAAAAATGAAAATTCTGTGCAGATAAAATACTTGAGTCTGGTTATGGCTAACATTATGAAATCAGTGAAGTATTACTCTCATTTTACTCACTTAAAGGCATCTAAATCTCTATATTCAATTGCAAACAGCCTTTCAGCCCATCTCTTTCTTTCTCTATAACCTAAATCTGTATTAAGAGATTGGACTGCCTATAGCCTGGGAAAATAACTCTCTCGGCTATAAGCAGGGGTTAAAAGGAGTGCAGGAAAGGCTAAATCACGGGCATGTAATGCCGAGCGGCATCCAACCCTGACAGACCTGGAGCAACGATGCAATTTCCTTAAATAACCACCACTATCAAACAGGCAAGGGGCGACAGAGGCCCAGAGCCATGTCAGTGTCCACAGCCGCTGCCCGCAGGGGAGGGCGGCCCACTGCCCTTTATTAATTATTAAAAGATAACTCCTCACCGCCGTGTGATGGATAACACTCGTGCTGGAAAGACATCCTGCTGAGAATTAATATCTCCCTCTCTCTTCCTCCCTGTGTCCCTGTTTGAAGCAGAGCAGCATAATCTATTAAAACAAAAAGGGGGGGTATGTAGCACAATGCGCAGCTTGGGCTTTATGACATGTCTGTGACCTATAGATTCAAACGGTATTGTTTCTTGTTATGGCTAATGTACCTTCAAGCTCACAGGGTGAAACTTCCTGCCTGGTTTGGGCGGACGCTGTATAAGAACACAGCGATTTAACCGGGTCAAGTTGATGTACCAGCAGTAGCGTTCTGGGCTGTTTTCTCCAGGCTTCCTTGGCCTGTCTGAAAGCCTCAGGCAGTGGATGAATGACGGATACTGTGCTGGATCTCTGTGATCATCCACCATGCTTAACCTGGCCACATGAAAGGCCTAAGCGCATGTGGGCTGATGGATGATAGGGTGGAAAAGCACCTGTTCTGCTGCTGCACTTTGTTATCACTGGAGCATTACACCAGTAGCAGGTGTCTTCACTGCTAATTTTTAGACCAAACATTTATGTGAGGGAGAGCAGCCAATGTGCTTCATTTGTTTGGGAAACAGTGACAAGAACTGATGGAGCTGTCAGAAGACGGCGGGTATAGATGTGTGAGTCTACCTGATGTGCATGTGGGTGAGCCTCTCCATCTCCTGTTCCATGTGCTCCTGAAGTTCTCCAGGACGCAGCAGCACCTGACAGATGGGGCAGATGGGAGCCTGACTGTCATAGAGTGACACCTTCTTCTTACCTGAGAGAAAAACAGAAAGATAGAACAAGAGAAGATGAGGTTTCCATTGTTGGTCAGAGTCAGTGTTGTTATTGTTAACTACAACTGTTACAAAGAGACAAAATCCCCAAAGCATAATTTAAAAGAAGATTACATTTTTGGAGAGACCACGTAAGAATGCCCTAGAAGTGTTGGCCCAGTTTTTATATTGTAAATTTGGAGATGAGCATGGGTCAGATGAGTGCTCAAAGTATTTTCCTCTCTCTCTGGACTGTGTGGATTAAGTGGCTAAGATTTCTGCTGAAGAAGAATCCGTCATCCTTGGCCTCCTGTCTCCTGTTCCCTCATTAAACTAGATCCACAGCTCCGCACAGACAGTTACGCCACTGAGCTTGTGACACTTCAACTGTATTTCGCACACACACTTTATATACACTTAGCAACTCACCAACGGACAACATTACATCAGATGATGTAATATAAAGTACAGTTATTCTCAGTTAATGTGAAATGCACAGTGAATTAAACAACTAGGCAGTTTCAACAAATACATATACACTGATGATTTTGAATCCTCGTGAGGCTTTTTATAGGATATCCACACAAACACAAACAGACATTTTATCATAAACAAGTAGGTATGCGTACGTGCGTTCACATCTGAACACATGGCTATATTTATTTTTTTTACAAAAGTCCATCCGTGTGGGTGGGTGAGTCTGTCATGGCTGCCTGTGAGTAACTAATACATCTTTAGCATGTGAATTCTCTAACGTGGAGCTCTGTAAACGAGAGAAAAAACACTTCCTGTTTCACTCTTATATCTCTCAATCTCTCAGATCTGGAACTAGCCAATCAAAGCGACTATTTTTAGCCCTCTGGGACAATAGATCCTCCCTCAAACAGGATATCCTGGATGAACTCACTGTTACCGACAGACTACAGCTGTAAGTCACATGGTGAGTGTGCTTACCTAACTAAAAGCGCAAATATATACACAAACAGGAAGTGAGGAAATCACACCTTGGAGATAAGCACATACTAAATCATTTACGATTACCACTATTTTCACTGATCACATTTTATTTAATGGGCTTAAGTTAACAGACATAAAGATGTAAAATCTCCTTCCATTTCACACAGAGAAACAGCAGTGTCCAATTATCAAAGAGTGTACGTGTGTAACGAATGTCTGGTGTTTTGCAGTTCAGTTGTAATGTCTGGGAGGCAGCTATTGATCTGTTGCAGTAGGGGTTAGTGAGCATCTTTTCTCAAGATGATGAGGTAACTTGAGGGCAGGTTGCAAACAGATGTACAAACACACACATACACACAAACAGTGGGGATGTAATCCTGATTCTTCTCTCTACATAAAGCCCTTGACTTCAGAGGGCACTGTTGTGATTGTCTTGACATGATGTGTGCGCCGTTTGAGAAGGTGATGATCGCTAACGGTCGAGTCTATGCACACATTCACGCAGACAAACATGCGCGCAAACACATGTTACGCTGACACACACGCGCGCATACATGCAGCAAAGTCCCTCCGGGGGCACATATCCTCTGCTCACATATTGGCCTGTCAGAACTATTTCCTGCAAGAGCACAGATTCATCAGTGAGGAGCTAGCAAGGGTCAGTGTTAGCATCCCCAAAACTCCCCCTCCCACCCCCATACATCTCTCCACCTCCTCCCTTTCCTCTCCTCTCCCCAGTCCTGCGTGCCTACGCATACCATCCCCTATTCTCCAGCACCACTACTTAACGGCCCCACACTCTGGACACTTTAAGTGACTTTGAAAAATAGGTAATCGATTACAATTCTGTGTGTCTCTGTTTCTCTCACCGCCCTTTTCTCGCTCGCCCCTCTCTCCCCTCCCTCCCAGTCTCTGTCCAGCAACATCCTGCACATCTATTTCTCATTTTCTGGCCCTTTATTTGTTTTCCGTGCTCTCCCCTGTCTTATCTCCTCTCACCTATTTCTGTCTCTTTCTTTCTTTCTTTCTTTCTTTCTTGATATATATGTATGTGTATTATATATGTGTGTGTATTATATATTATTATACAGTATATATTATTTACTACTAATAATATAAATAATAATATACTACATAAATACATAAATAAATAAAAGAGAAATTTAGAAATTTAAAGGCAAATATATATATTTTTAAATATTAATTTATGAATTTTTAGTAAATATTTTAGAATTTCTTACATCTTTGGTTAAATGCTGATTTTTGGTAATATTTTTTAGATTTTTTTTTTGTTGTAAATATTGATTTTATATAAAACGAATGTACTTTTTGTAAGGTTTCTTTCGTGAATATATTCTTTTTTTGTCATTTGTTATACCCATCATCCCCACATCTCCCTTTCTCCCTCTCTCTGCTCCTCTCTTCAGCAGCGGTCAGCTTTATTGCCCTGACAAGATAATTTGAGTCGTGCCAAAGCAATCACCGTCTGCAAGAGTAAACAAAGAGAGGTCCAGACCCATTCTAAAGCAGATAAATCTTCAATCCAACTCTTTCTCTTACGTGGCCATTTGCAACATGAAATCACACAACCTGACATATGAGTTTGTGTAGGAATGACATAGTCTGTTCACACAGTGTCATTATCATTTAGCTCTGTTTATTCTTTAAGTTTTTACTCATACTGTATGTTTACACATGGTTAATATGTAAAATCTAAAATGTACTATTTAAACACACAGGAACATGAGTGCTATTGTAAATTGTCAACTGTATTTTCTTGTGTATTTAATTCATTTCTTTCCTTTTTTTGTCTGTTGACATGTCAGATGGTTTACTGACAGAGTGTTACTCTGACTCTGTTATGTGTGCATGATGGAATATGTTAACAGACCATGCTATTGTTTGTATGTGTGCCCCTCTGTCCGTGTGTGAAGAGAAAATTAGTGTGTGCCTCTTGAAACTGGCTCTTTAATTCATCCGTACACAATCAATGGGCTCAGTAATGGAGTCATGATGGTTTGGTCAAGCGCTTGTCGGGACCTAAACCACCTCCCTGTCACTTGTCTCCCTGAAAACACACACACACATACTCACAAACAGAGAGCTGGTCATTTGGCAGCTTTGATATTAACGGAGAGGATTCACACAAAATAACTAAATCATCTGTCTGTCAGCACAGACTGATGAACGCCTATATAGTGAAAGGGTGTGTGTTTGTGAGTGGACATGGGCTTGCAAATACCTGAGGCCATGTCAAAGCTTCGCATACATCTGTGTGTGTGTTAGTGTGGAGGCCTAATGTTTTTCCTATAGACCGCCCCATTATGTGTGCATGCAGTGTGGTGTAGGTGTCCACATCGTCCCCAGAGAGGATTGACTAATAGAGACAGCCAGTGATTAATCATGTCTTCCCTGTTAGGGCTGGAGGGACACAAACACAGTCCTCCAACCTTGGACAAACCCTCACAAACTCATTATTTGTTATACTTTTGTACATTTCCAATCATCTTTAAATTATTTGCTGTACTCTGTATATTTCTTACAACATTTGTATATTCTTTGTATGCCTTATACTGTATATATATATATATTTATTTATTTAAGCTGAATAAATAAGCTTTCCATTGATGTATGGTTTGTTAGGATAGGACAATATTTGGCCGAGATACAACAATTTGAAAATCTGGAATCTGAATGTGCAAAAAAATCTAAATACTGAGAAAAGTTGTCCAAATGAAGTTTATAGCAATGCATATTACTAATCAAAAATAAAGTTTTTATATATTTACAGTAGGAAATTTACAAAACACCTTCATGGAACATGATCTTTACTTTACTAGAAAAATCTATAATTTATATATAAAGAAATAAAGACAAAGACTTAATGGATAAATAAATAGATAAATATAAAAATTTGTAAAAGTATTATAAAATTATTATATACAGTCTATATATCTATATGTTTACCTATCTATCGGTCTGTCTATCTATATCAATCTATATCTACTACATATATAATAATCCAAATACTTTGGCAAAATGCTGAATTTTTGTTTTTAGTAAATACATTTTCTACATGATATTCTAAAGATATAAAATATATTTTAAATGTTTCCCAGATGGCTCTGATGATTTATAAATGAAAAATATTTTAAAATATTACTTATTTTATAAATTTCTTATTTAATTTTTAAAAAATATTACTTATTTTATTAAATATAATACTTTTGTATGATTTTTAGTAGTTTTTGTAATACTTATTTTACTAATAACTATTTTCAAATATCTAATTTCTTTAGTAAAATGGTAGAAAACACATTTTATTAATTCAGTGTCACAATAGTCATCTCTCTTTTCTAAAATCTGGTGCACCCTGCACCAGACCTCATGTGGTCTCTAAAGTGTCCCATTCCTCTTGTCCATTTCTTATTCTTTCCTCCATCTCTCTGTTCCCTCTCTTTCTCTCTCTAAGGGAGTGAGTGATGGCTAGCAGAAGACAGAGATAAATCCTGAGGCATGGAGGGGGTTTGGCGCATGCTGCTTGTCAGCGCGTTAAAGATGATTAATGTGGGATGCCCCCCTGTGCTGGACCCCTGCGTGGAGAAAGGTGGGGACTCCATTTAATCTGAAGGGCCGGCGAGACCAGCGCGCAGAGAGGGGCAATAACAAGGAAATAGGACTGACAGAACTTTTTAGTGCTGAGATTTCTCACCTAAATGCCATGCTGTGAGAGAAAGAGGGAAAGAGAGCGATGTCTGTGACAGCTCTGACTGAGTGCTGGCCTGATCTTCTCTAATTTGCCAAGATGGATGGCTCCCTCTTGCTATCTCTCTCTCTCTCTGCTTTCAAAAATCCCCTCTTTTCCCCCTCTTTTAGCCATAGCACACCTTTATCACAGTACATACACTCACCCGGACCTCTATTCTGATAGCACAGCTAATGAGGGCCAGAGCCAGCGGCCTCTCTCAGCGTTAGACGTTCCCTAATTATTAAAAGCACTTTCATCAAAGGTAACCTCTCGCTAACCCCACTGATGGCACAATTA